GAAAGCTGAGACAGGAGGATCACTTGAGTTCAGGAGGTCACAGCACTCAAGTCTGGGTGATGGAGCAAGACTCAAAAAGAGGAGAAGGAGGAGGAGGAGGAGGAGACTCTATGCTCTCCCAGAAGCAAAGTTTAAAAGCAGTGCTGCTCAAGGTATGGCCCGTAAACTGTTTATCACCAGTCCACCACAACATAAATATAGGAACTAAGAGGAAGTCTTTAGGAACCATAACAGCAATTTAAAGCTACCATGACATCCAGGGGCACAATCACTGGACTTGCCTCATTGAACGGCTCATAGACCAGCTTGAATGGTGCTGCGCCACATGTGCTGTAAATTGCGAACTAGCTGTACAAAGCAAGACTGTGTGTTGGTTTTGCAATGTTTCCAAACATTGCAAAAAAAACAAGAAACAAAAATTGGTTCTTCCCTAGATTTGAGAAAAATTGGCCTTTGAAGGCAACCCCTTCACTTTGCAGAGAAAACTGAAGTCCACAGAAATTAAGTGACTTCCCCCACGGTTAATGACAGAACCCAAGAGTGGAAGAATAGGAAACAGGGAGGAAAGAAACTGACAACCGTACTTCTTGTCTTTCTCCTCTCAGCCAGTGAGTCTCACTGGAGATCCCTGAAGCATCAGGGCTGCAGGACCTGTACTCTTCATGAGCAAAGGCAATTGCAGGTTCAAGGCAGACTTCTCAAGCACAGCATTTTCACCCAGCTACCTAAATCTCAAACCCAACACATTAAAGCGAATACCTTCTTTTCAAAACTAAGTTCCCTCCCAGCCGGTCCACTTCTGTCATCGGTGCATCTTGGAAACACAACTTATTGAAAACAACTGGCATGTTGATTCTTCCTTCAAAGTCCCTGAGCCAGTGGAAAAAGCAAATGTAGGGACTCAGGTGCATCTGGGGCAAAAGGGTTTGTCTGGCATGTGCAAGTTCACAGTCCCAAACACAAAGTTAGGGTCAAAAGTGTTCTATACATAAAAAACAATAGCTGCCAATGCTAGTTTTCCCACTTAGAGTAACAATTTTAGGTAATGTAGTAATGTTTCTTACTTCCAATGGTTTCATGAGAATCAAATAATAATGAATTTTCTTATTTTTTAGGACTGCACCTGGAACATGATAAATGCTCAGCCAATGTTGAATGATGAAGGGAAGAAGAAAGGGAGATGAAATGAATGGGATTCCTGGGTAGCACGAGAATCTATAGATTTGAGCCGTACAAGCCATCCCTGCCCCTACTTGCCTATACTTCCTAAACTAATCCAGTTCTTTCTCAGAAGCTGCAGATATACTGAGAACTAGGGGGAGTCCTCAGCTAGCTGCCAGATGCCAGGGTGTTAGAGGAAATGAGGCCAAAAAGCCCAAGAGGTCAGGGGTAGGAAGGAGAGGACTTAAGAGGATTGGGAGACCCAAACGCTGAGCCAAACCAAAGTCCCTCCCACACTCCCTGCCCCAACCCCAGCCAAACCACTGGCTATAGCCTGGGGGGAGTGGGGGAGAAGGGATATGGGAGGGGACTTCGCAAGACCACAAATCCCATTTCTAGCAGAACCGGCCACCTGCAGCTGGAGGGAGCCCAGTGCCCAGGCCCCTCCTCGTCGACCCAGTGAGAGGGCTGCAGTAGCCATCACGGTGGTCCCTGAAGGCAGATCCAGGGCCCCTGTACCATCATGGACAGAAAGGCTCTCTCTTCAGCCTGCTCTTGTATATATCTCGCAAAGCTCTCTCCTTCCTCTATGACATTCAATAATAAGGGCTGGGGTTGCCAAAGAGGCAAAGCTGAGCTCTGGGACTATAACTCCAGTTCCTGCCATGAACGGGGAACCTCCCCCCTTTCTCTCCATCCTCAAACTCAACTCTGAAAACCTCTTAGTCGGTTCCTTTCTTGCTCTAGCTTGACATGCTCACCTGCTTCCATATGTCCCTAAGCTGCTTGTAAACACCCCAGAGAGAAAAGGGGTGCCTCCCGAGCCATCATAAAAAGCTGGAGAGTGGGAAGAGCAGGCAACTAGTGGGAGTGACCCACGATGTCAAGAAAGTTGAGGATCACTGATCCCTGAAAACAGGGTATTTTTATAGTGGTCAAAAAGAAAGACAGAAGGCAGAGATCCTGGGCACAGTCCCAAAATAGTTTCCAGACATCCTCAGCCAGTTGAGGATTCCCATGGGGCAAAGCGTGGGAGCCGCGTGGGAGCCCGAAAGCAAGACAGCCCTGCTCTCGGAACTGGGCACTCACTCCTATCCAGGCGGCCAAGGAGGAGGCAGCAACAGTGTCTGCTATAGCATGTTCCTTGAGATAACATTGGTAGACACATCACACGTGAGACTGTAAAATGTCAACCTGCATTCATTAAGCTCAACTCTGTCCTCGTGCTAGGCACCATGCATACTCATATACCAAAGGTATTCTTGAAACCCTGGCAGGACTCAGCACACGGTAGATGTGCATATTCCTGTTGGCAACTGGTACCATTCTCCAATGGGGCTTACTCATCCTGCACCCATATCATGGGAACACCGTCTGTAACACCCTCTTTGTCCTGTGCCCAGAGTCTTGCCTTGATCTCAGAATGAACTCATATACCAGACATCTTCTTACACCACAACCTAATAACAGAAGAGGATCTGACAAAACTGCCTCACCTAGGATATATGGGGTACCACAGCAAAACTGCTCACCCAAGGAAACCCCATATGGGGGGAAAAGGACACCAGGAATGGGAGATTCAGACCTGAGTGTTTGCTGGCAGTGGCCAAGTTGGGCCAAAAAGCTATGGTTCTCAGACAGACAACTTGACAATAAAAAAAAGCACAGATACAACCTGTTTAAAAACTCAGCAAGCTCAATCTACTAAAAGAAGAGGAAGGAGCAAGGCTTGTCAGGAAGGCTTCTTGGATTTTCAAGTTGCCCCTACCACATGCCCACAACACTAAGGGATGGGGAATATTAGGCTGAGAGCCACCAGTGGGGCTGCAGAAAACCAGTCTTCAGCCTGGGCCAGCAGAATGCAGGCAGGGAGACAGAGCGAACACACTTGGAAAGAGCTGAAGAGAAGCAGGTTTGCCAGGGAGAGCCATCACTACAGTAGGAGGGGGTGCTTTCGGGAGTAAACAAACTTGCCAGCCGTCTTTTCTCCCAGCAGAGAGGGAAGCTCTGGCTGACAAGGCCAGAGATACCGACAAGGAAGGGGGCTGCCCCTCCCTGAGCCCATAGATCCTCATCCCCTTGGCCTGCTTTTCCCAGGCTTGGGGGCAGAACAGGTCCACTCCACAATCTCTGTGTCCACAGTCTGCAACAGCACAAAAGGTGATTACAATTCCCCCAGTGAGCAGAGGGAGGCCAGGGAAGGAAGCAGAGGTGGTACACGGGTCTCCAATCTAGGAGGGGTTCTGTTCCGGAGAAGAGTACACAATGAGTGCTGGCGTGTGAGGTGAGCTCACAGCTCTCTCCTCCCCACCCACAGAATCTACAGAACCAGCCACCCTCTGCTTGCCTCCAGGCCTCCTACAGCCTCATCCCAGGTGATTGCCCACTACTCCCAGTCTCACCAAAGCATGCCCACCTCCCCAGGGAAGCTGATGCCACCTGGCTCCTCTTCTTCCCAGAAGCTGCTCCAGAAAGAAAATTCACACCCTTCCCCAAGCACTTCCTTGCCTAAAGTTCCTTGGGACAAAGCCAGGGAACTACCCAGGCCTACTTATCCACCCTGCAGCCTCACCCACAATCTCCCACCCCACGTGGGGAAGCAAAGCCCTCCCTCCAGCATCCCCACCCAGACAGTGAGGTGGCAGGACGCCACTTCCAGCACCTCCACGGAGCTTCCCACAGCTTTCCCAGGAGGCAGGAGGAGGATTTCCAGGGAGGAGCGACAAAGAGCATCTGGGGACACTAGCAGCTCACCCACCTGCTACCCAAGCAACCAGGCTCCCCCAGCTCCCCAGAGAGTCCTGGACTGAGGGGGAGTGGGGGTGGGGGCTGAGGCAGGAGAAGAAACAGCTTCCTCTCTGCTAGGAAAAGTCCCACACAGCCTGCCTCTGTCCACCTGTCCCCCACATTCCTTTCAGCCTCTCTGCTCTTAGACTTGAGACTGAGCATCCTCCCAGTCTGTTTTCTCCACCCTGGGCCAGCAGAGGATACTGCTGAGTAATCCCAAACTCATGGCAGGTACCCAGCCCTGAAAAGAGGGGCAAAGCCCAAGGAAATAATCTACTGATCTGGTCCCTGCCAAACTGGGAGAAATATCCACGGTTTCCTAGTCATGGCCAATAACTCTACCAGACTCTCCCCTCCCCTGCCCTGCCCCAAATACCCCAGCCACCATTCTCAACCACACAGAGAAGATTTCAGTGCCCCCTTCTCTGCTTCCCACACACCTGGGAACACTCCTTTCCCAGGCCTCCAGACACCAAGTCACACAGCATAACAGCAGACGCCCGTTGGATTCCCCATCATGATGTTGCATCAGCCCCCACCCTACCCAAAATATCCTCACCCCCACCACCTCCTCTCCTTTCCAGCCATCTCCATGGTGACAGCAGCATGACTAATGACACCCTATCAGCTTCAGACTCAGGAGTGCAATTCTCTCTCTTTCTTACAGCCCCCCCCCCCATTTCTGCAGATTGGATGCAAACCAATAGTGCCAGGAGACATACTTCAGAGATTTCCAGAGGCAGGAGTGGGGAGGGGGTTGCATGTCTTAAAAAAAAAAAAAAAAAAAGTTCAACAAACCAAACCCCAACTGCACCCAAACCATCCAGCTGAGAAAGCAAAAAGAATCCAAACAAAACCCACACAGGCCTGAGAATTCATTGGCCGCCCACACCCCCGTCGCCCCTCCCCCTCAGCTGCTGCTACACACACAGTGGGAGATTAAGGGATCACCAGAGGAGACCCTTTATTTTTATCCAATCCAGTCAAACACCTCGCAGCGCGCGCGCGCGCACACACACACACACACACACACACACACACACACAAGGTACCTTGACAGCCGCTCCTTGTCTCCACGGCCCGGCTCCTTCACCAGCCTTTATTTCCACCTGCAAGAGAAGCCAGAGAGACCGATGAGCCAGGTTGGCGGCAGGAAAGCGGCAAAGTCCTCCCGCTACACCCCCAGCGCCCCTGAAGGGGAAGGAAGAGAGCGGGAGGGGAGGCAGCCTGGGAAAGAAAGGCGATCAGGGACCATCTTCCTGCCTCCAGCTGCCGCCCAGAATCCCGTTCACGGGCTCCTTTGCCTTCCAGGGTGTTTTTGTTTCAGTTCTCCCTCTGAACGCTCCCGAGATCCCAGAGGACACTGCCCTCCTGCCCGCGTCCGCTCCACCCGCCCCCTGCCCAGCGCCCTACCTCGGCCGGCCTCCTCTGGTGCACGGGCCGCCGGGCCTCCCATTATCCCCGCCGGAGGGAGCGCACGGAGGGAGGCACTGCAGAGGAGGCGGCGGCCAGCTGCCGGCTGCGCTCCCTCCCGCCCCGGCTGGTGTGCAGGGGCGGTGCGCAAGCCAGCCAATCCCTGCAGCCGGCCCTGCCCCCCCCTCACTCCCCCGCTGGCGGACCTGCCCAGCCGGGAGGTGGGGGCGGGGGAGTGCTGCTGAGCCGCGCTGGCAGTTTCCCAGGCCCGCCGCCGCTCCCTGGCAGGCTGGGCATCCCAGGGCACCCCAGCTGCCTCCCGAGGGCACCCCGAAGGAAGCACCCAGAAGGCGTCCTCTGCACCTCCAGGGTCAAAGATGACAGACTGCGTTTCCGGCAGGTCTGGCGCTGGTGGGATTCCCGCTCCCGCAGCTCTCCAGTGCCAGCATGTCTGGGCTGCAGGTAGGACAGTACCCAGCCCATGATACGGGCATGCGGGGCAAGAGCCCCTTCAATCTTCCAAGAAGAAAAAGCCCAGGCAGCACGAACCTTCACCCCATTTTGCGGCTGAAGAGACAAGTGAAGCGACTTACCCAAGGTGACACAGCTAGAAAACAGCAGAGCCGGGACTCCAAGCCAGGTCTGTCTGGCTCTGAAAACCGTACTCTTAACTACTATGCAGTTCTCTTCCTCCCTCCCTTCAACTCCTACCTCAGAAAACAGGCTTCTTGGAGCTCACGCCTCTTGCAGCTGAAAGCCTCACCAGGTTGGCCTGGTCTCCCTCCAACACCCACCCACTCACCCACACCTCACTCTAGGATAGCTCACCCAGGGTGCCTGAACACACCCCACGCCAGACAGACTCCCCCTTGCCACTCCATGATAGTTTCTCCTAACTTGAAGAGGCTATAGACGGGACCCCCCAAAACCCCAGGGGTCCCGAGACCTCAGGGCTTCCTATCTCATTTCCAGGAAAAGGCAGAGAAGGTGAGGTAGCCTAGGCCTCAAGAGCTCTGGCCTTCCCATTTCCAGACTCTGAGGCTTTGAAGGCTGCAACTCCCAGGAGACTGAAGGAAATGCAGGATGAGAAAGAACAGAAGGGTAGAGGAAGGCCCGGAAATCCACTCCTGAACTTACTTCCTGGGCATCCCTGGGCACAGGCTTCTCTTCTCCAGTCATTCCCGGTAGCTAAACACACCAGAGTCTCCCCTTCCCAGGAAGGTGACATTCCAAGCTCTACCACTACCTAGCTGCTTGTAACTTACCTCTTTTAGCCTCTTTTTGCTAATCTGTAAAACTGAACTACAAATAGCAGCTCCCTCACACAGTTGTGAGGATTCCTGTAAAGAAATGCAACAGCTACCATCACTCTTAATCTCTTCAAGAACTCACTGGGTGCTACCTCTCATTCTCATAGATGAATAAGCTGAGGTCAAAGAAAAGTGACTCACAGGATTCGTTAGGATAAGTGAGAGCCCCTGACCCAGTGATTCACTCTTCTACCCACTCCACCACGGATGCCTAATTGCTGTCCCTTCTTTGGGGCCCCAAGCAGGTACTCAGAACAGGATGGGCTGCCTTGGGAGACACAGCAAAGCTGGTCTCTAGTGAAGACTCCAGCAGGCATCAGGGCCCACACCTGCCTCACCCTGGGGACAAGGGGAAGCCCTACTGAGTTCCTCTAGGATAGGAAGGGAGGCAGGTGCCAGACTATGGCAAGGAACAGTATCTTAAGCCAAGGTTCACAGTGGAAAATTGGGTTTTTGTGTCCCTCAACTCTTACCTTGACCAGGCCAAGTAGAGTCCCTGCCCCGCCTTCTGCCCCCCCCCCAGTCTGCTGTTCATCAGAGACGAACACTGCTTGGACAGTAACAACTAGTTACTGCAGTAGCTAAGACAAGTTTATCAAGCCCTTACGACACACCAGGCCCTGGTGCAGGATCATCTCATTTGACTTACTCCACACACAAGCTCATCTCTTACACAGAAATGGAAGGACTTAGGGATGTTAAATTACTCGCCTGTCAACATAGTAGGTGAGTGGCAAGCTGGAGTTCAAATCCAGGCCCGTCTCTTTTCAATTCTCTAAACTCTGTCTTTGCCAACCCCAAGGATATGCAAAGAAGACTGAGGTCACCTCAACCCAAACACTTCCCTTTACGCTATAGATCTGGGAATAGTAAGGTCTTCTTCATACCTTGGAGACTTCCCAGTGCTGCTCCTCCTGCCTGGATCCTTCATCCACCTCCCCCACCTGGCAAACTAATGTGGTACAAAGCTTAATCCAAACACCGCCTCCCCTCTGCCAATTTCTCATATCACCAACTCCCATGAGCATCACCTGCTCCTCCCGGGTCTTCACAGAGCAGTGTACTGTCCCTACACACAGTCATGATGACGTGTAGTTATTTACTTACATGGCAGTCTTCTCTATGTGGGCGGGGGCTCTATCTTCCCCCACTTTCCTAGGCTCTGCACTAAGCTGGAATGTGCTGAGCTGAGTTTCTACACAAGGAGTGTGGAGAAGCAGGGGAATGGGCACTGAGATGCGGAGGCCACTCTCCTGGTCAGCCTTCGCATCTCTGGTCTGAGGGACACCTGCTCTCCTGTAAGGGCAGGACCTGCCACAGCTGAACAGTGGCCTAGTTCAAGACTGTCCAACCGGCACACATCTTCCTCACCAGCTTGCAGGAGCCATGGAACAAAGTTCCTACCCCAACTCCCTACTCCATTCATCATCCCGTGCTAACTCAGCCCTACCCCAAACTCCAAGTCCTCACCCTGTCCTCCAGCAGCCCTCAGCTACCCTAGAGAGGAGCCATGACCCCCAAGGCAGTCCACCTGCTCCCATCCCCTATCACCCTGGTTCCTTATTCCCTCTTCTGAATTCCAGGGCTTGAGGGAGTCACAGAGGCACATGCTGGAGTCATTCTGCTTCCAGCCAGACACTCTCCACTCCCTACCTGATCCTCCTCCCATCTCTGTCCCTTTTTCTACATTTCAGGCTTCACAATGACCAACCCAGAGGTACCTGGGATCCCTATGTGTGGGAGCCAAGGGTGTCTCTCTATCCTCCATCATGATCCCTAGCCCCCATTGTGCTCCCAGCAAGAAGAGTGAGGCCACAGCTCTCCCCACTGGGGAGAGGTGAATGGATTCACCCACTTTCAAGACACACAAAATGCCCTAATACCAAGAACCTCAAGAACACAGATACCCACAGAATGGATCCCACATAGATATCTAAAGTCCAGGGGAATGCAAATAGACATAATCCAGGACACATATTTGGGGGGATTTGAAAGAGCATCAACCAAGCACCAACTCCATGTCAGTCCCTTTCCTGGAGCATGATATATATCTTATTTAACCCTCAAAACAAATTAATCAGACAGGAATTGTTCATACCCGTTTTACAGATGGGGAAATTGGCATACATCGAGGCTACACATCTTGCCCAAGGTCACACAGTCAGAAAGTGACCGGGCAGGGTTTCTGCCACCCCCTCACTTGCAGCTGTACAGTCAGAGTTGCTCTGTGCAGCTCTGTGATTTTTCATATCCACCTACCTCTTCTAGAGCTGGCAGAGGTAGAGGGAGATGGACTTCTCGTCCTTCCTCACCATGACTGTGTCCTGAATGAGGTCACTCTTCATAGGGCTTTACTTCAAAGCTCACATAAAGTCCTGCTTCCTCCAGGAAGCCTTCTCCAGTTACCCCAGTCCTCTGCCAGCTGACAGTACTTCTAACATTTCTCATTCTACACTTGATACTGATATTTGTGTCTCTGTATGTGTGTCCTGCATCACCAACCAGAATGACTGGAGTCCTGCCTCTCCAAAGTTGCTCCAGAGTTTTGCCCAATGTTCTACCCACTGAAGGCACTTGGAATCGACTATGAGGGAATTCTGTGACCTCCTTCCCTCTCCATCATACAAAGGAGCCTGCAAAAAACAAAAACATAAACAAAGACAAAAACAAACCAACATCCCCTCTACCTTCAGAGCCTATGTTTGAAGTCCCCGGTGTCCACGCATCAATTTCCACCCAAGTAATTGCTGCCCATCACACACACATCATCTCCTATATTTGAAAATCCTTGCAGTTGTCATGGGAACTGCCTTTGCCTTCATTCACTGCTCAGGCCTCACAATTAGCTTTGGCAGCGGAAGTCTGTGTCAATGACAATCACAGGGAGGAGGCAGCCAAGGAGGAGCAGCACAACAGAAGAAAAGACGCTCCTTTCCTTAGAGATGCAGCAGAACCAGACTGAACCAAGGTACCCGGCGACACCCGAGGGAAACAGGTCAGAGGCAGCCAACGACCCCATCCTCATGCTTCCACTCCAACAACAGAAGGCACCCAAGGCCACCCAAGCTGACAGGTAGCATTAAACACTCTGCCTATACCCCACCTACCCCTCTAGCTGCTTGTGAGATGGTCTTATAGTCTATGAACCTCAACATGGTCTCCTCACCCCAAATTCAACAGCCATGGACCACCAAATGTTCCAGGACCTAAGCAAAACAAGAAACCACATGATGCTACTGAGAAGGTGGGACATAAATGCTGAGCAGTTTAGAAACCTTGGGGCAGCCCTGTCAGAAGATTTCTAAGAGAAACACAAAATGTCTGACCTTCCGCGTCCCGGATCCTCTGGCAGAACCCCGCAGTCTGTCTGCATCATTCTACACCCC